TACGTATCCACCAATTTTCTCGAATGCGTCCGAAGCGTTGCTTATGGTCAAATTACTGCTCGTTCTGGAAAGAACAGTTGATTCTTATCTCAACGTAATGTGCAGCAGTTGACTTTTGTGAATTAGCTGTATATATTGAGCATTTTATTTGCGTAGTTTTTCTGTATTTGTTTAGAGCAGTGCTTGTATACAAAGAGCACATGTACGTATTTTGAAAGAGGTGTGCCCACATATTAAAGAGCTTTAACCCAAGGCTTCTCTGGAACCGAGAGATGAATTGCTGAATATTGAAATACGCAAAGTACCATACCCCATTCACTTAGCATAAGTTTACAATAGCATCACAAAAAGCGATTTGCAGTATCGAGCGTGCAATATTGCGTTAAAGGCAGCGGCTCGGCAGATTGACCTACCTCAGATTTTGGGTGGAGGACATTAGGTCGTCGAATTTGAAAGAGTCCCGCGCGGATTCCCTGCAGGAACGCATGTCCGCGCATGCACAAGGGTGCGTGTTTGTCGCAAATGACCGCGGGGACCGCCCTTTGGCGACCTAATGTCCCCCACCCTCAGATTTTGACACAAATGGATAGGAAGCCCTCCAAGTGAACCAAAACAGCAACTCCGCGCCGAAGTGAAATCTGCAAGCCAGGGGGGGGAGCGACCCAAGCGCCTCTCCCCTTCCTCCTTTCGCTCCCCTAACACCTTGTTCGGACGAGTATGTTCTCCGCTAGAAAACGCGCCGTCATCGTAGCTTCGTAGGGCAGAATTGTTCTAGCGTTCTCTACCTCCTTATTCTGCGTCTCTGACAGAGAAAAACGGCTCACTCATCCGCGCCCCTCTCAAGGAAGGTTCCAAAAGACGGGGTTTCCCCCATTTTCGCGCTAAGTGTAGTTCATATCGTCATTCAGGGGGCCGGAAAAGCCCCAAACCAAAAGCGCGAAGTTGAAAATCTGCCGAGCCGCTCCCTTTAAGTCGTGTCCTGCGTTGATTTAAAGTGCTCAACTTTGTTCCCATAGACATCAGACAATAAAGCAGCTTCTGTAGCTTCTCATTTCTTGAAAAGTCTGGAAGTCTGCTGGAAGCCCGAAAATGGCTAGCGAACTTTGGAAAAACTTTGTTCACCTAAAACCTATCTGGGTAACTCTACCGTAAAACGCCATTTGCAAATTTGCGAGTTTTTCAATCAGCGATCGGATAACCTCCATTCGAGCAAATCGGTTCTAGTCATTTTTCGCCTTCCTCCCTCTGAGTTGCCGCAATCTTTCACTGAAATTTGCTAATTTTGGATTGGCCGAAAAGTTCACTTGCAGACTTTTTCGAACAGACTTTTGACAAAACTCTTACTTATCTCACAGAACTGCCTTGCAACAAAGTTACAGTGAAGGAAATAGTTAACCGTAAGGCAAATGCGCCTGCACTTTCCGCCCATCTGTTGAATAAGTTACTCGCATATTTTCCAAGGTATGAGTCTCTATAGCAGTGCTGATAGGCCAATACTCAACCCAAGTCCTCTTATGTACTTCCCTGATTATGACCTTACGGATTTGCGCTCGCATGATTTTTGTCCTTCCCTAGTTCAAATATTGTGCATTTTGACTGATTCCTGTCCTGAGCATGAAAACTCACTGAATACCCGGTCCGACTTTGCTTTTCACGTAAGGCTCTCATTACAAGGGATACGGGTATACACAAGACTGGTTCATTGAGTCATTAAGATTCTGCCATTGCCTCTTGCTATTCAACGTAAATTAATATCATTTCATTGGTGTGGAAGAAAGTCAAATTTCGCTTTCCAAATTCAAGACCATCTGTGGTGCTCAAAGCATTATATGGAACTAGATGGCAAACCCGGCTCCGCCCGGGACCAAACTTTGCACACATACACTTCGGGGCAGGGAGCGTGTCATAGTCCACTTTTCGTTATCGATCGATGTCGATTTCACCGATTTTTTGCAAATTTTGAGCTAGGGGGCTGGGATTTTGCACAGGGGGGTAATCGAACATGCTGATCACCCCCACGGGGGTGATCAGCATGTTCGATTACCCCCCTGTGCCAACTCCCAGCCCCGTAGCTCAAATTTGCAAAAAATCGATAAAATCGATATCGATCGATAACGAAAAGTAGCCTATGACACGCTCCCTGTCCCGAAGTATATGTGTGCCAAGTTTGGTCCCGATCGGTTCAGAAATAAAAATTTCTATTCCGCACATACGTACAGACAGACATACATACAGACAGACATACAGACAGACATTCAGCTTTATATATAAGATATCTCGTATTCGGTCCATATTAACTGGCTATATACGCCATCTTTGGGTAAATTGCAATCACACCACTCAAAATATTTTAGTCTGATTGAGTCTTTCTTTGCTTCAGATATCCTATAGCTAGAAGAGAGAAATGAAAGGCCACATAGAAAGTTGTGAATCTTGCTGAAACAAACTGTGATTTCTGTACATGTTTCGCAATCGCTTGCGCGTATTAGGCGATGCGGCCGAAAAATCGTGATGTGGACCATCACCTATCGCTTCTTAGTGCCACCACTTGAACCGTGTTCCTGTTGGATACGTAAACACTGGTCAGCAATCGTCCGCGACATGAACGAATGCAGGCATCGCTGGTAGCTGTTCGTGAACATGAAGATTAATGGGGAGTGTTGATAGGCCGCACCTCGTTAAAGGCAGCGGCTCGGCAGATTCTCGACTTCAAGTTTTTTGCTTACATGGGGTAATCTGAGGCGCCTTCCGGAGATCCACCTTGAAAAGCGCGAAAATGGCAACCACCACTCCTCGAGGCCTCACATTTTGAATTTGGACGAGTGGAGCGCACGTCCCGCCATGGTTAGAGAAGCAGAATCGTTACGGGACCTTCACATTATAACATTGCGGCATGTCTACTCTGACAGGTCAGGGAGAATCGCAAGCTCATCCGCGCGTATTAGAATGGCTTGCGCGTAACGGGATTTTTTAGGCAAGAACAGCATGCTGTGCGCTCGGACCTGCTCTGTTCTCATGTTTGGGGTGCAAGCAACTTTCCATGTCAAAATTTCGGGATGTTCGGTTTTGGCGAGTTGCTGCCTTTAAGCCACATTGTGCGGTGCAGCGCATTTGGTACACATCATATACGGTTCGCTTTGAACAAGTTGCTCCCAGTGGTTCGAAAGTGATGAAATGGTCGACTTTTTGCGTACTTATTAGAATTGACGATGACTTTTCAGACAATATTTCATCCATCGCGTGGCGCGGGTACAAAAACAAATATCAACTACTTCAGTGTTTTTAACATTCTGAGTTGGATATGATGACAAATACAAAGCGTCTGCAAAGATTGCTTTTCCCCTTCTTTTTCTAGCACCGTAATCTAACTTACGATTTTTTTGGAAAACATATGAAAGACTCATTCATTTGAAATACAAATGCATTCTTCACATGTGATACAGTAAATTACATTGCTGTCTTCGCAGCAACTATTTTCTTTACAATAAGTGTGGATTTTTAGTCCTGTTGAACTATTATACTTATTATGAACTAGCTGGCTTACCCGGCTCCGCCGTATCCGGACCAAACTTGGCACACATACACTTCGGGCCCCGGCGCGTGTCACAGTCCACTTTTCGTTATCGATCGATGTCGATTTTACCGATTTTTATCGATTTTTTCGCAGAGTTCACCTACAGGGCTAGGAGTTGGCACAGGGGGGAAGTGAGCATGGGGATTCCGAATACAATATTAGTTTTCAGAATTATCGGTTACTTTTATTGATTTTATCGATTTTTTGTAAATTTTGACATGCGAGGCTGGGATTTTGCACAGGGGGGTAATCGAGCATGCTGATTACGAACACAATATTAGTTTTCAGGATCGTCCATTACTTTTATCGATTTTACCGATTTTTTTGTAAAGTTTGACCTGCGGGGCTGGGAGTTTGCACAGGGGGGTAATCGAGCATGCAGATTACGAATACAATATTAGTTTTTGGAATTATCCATTACTTCTATCGATTTTATCGATTTTGCAAAATTTGAGCTAGGGGGCTGGAATTTGGCACAGGGGGTAATCGAGCATGCTGATCACCCCCTTGGGGATGATCAGCATGCTCGATTACCCCCCTGTGCCAACTCCCAGCCCCCTAGCTCAAACTTTGCAAAAAATCGATAAAATCGATAAAAGTAATCGATAATCCTGAAAACCAATATTATATTCGGAATCCCCATGCTCGATTACCCCCCTGTGCCAACTCCCAGCCCCGTAGCTCAAACTTTGCAAAAAAATCGATAAAATCGATAAAAGTAATCGATAATCCTGAAAACCAATATTATATTCGGAATCCCCATGCTCGATTACCCCCCTGTGCCAACTCCCAGCCCCGTAGCTCAAACTTTGCAAAAAAATCGATAAAATCGATAAAAGTAATCGATAATCCTGAAAACCAATATTGTATTCGGAATCCCCATGCTCGATTACCCCCCTGTGCCAACTCCCAGCCCCGTAGGTGAACTCAGCAAAAAAATCGATAAAAATCGATAAAATCGATATCGATCGATGACGAAAAGTAGCCTATGACACCCGCCGGGGCCCGTAGTGTATGTGTGCCAAGTTTGGTCCGGATCGGTTCAGAAATGGAATTTTCTATTCGGAACATACGTACATACATACATACATACATACAGACAGACATACGAACAGACATTCAGCTTTATATATAAGATGGACTACGATCCATTAACTTGCAAACAACGCATGTGGAGTAACATGCACTTGTCATGTGATTATTTCCAAAATTATCTAATGTGTATTTATTGTTTATCCTACTTTTATGAAATTGTGTAAACTTAAAATAATTATCATCATCGCAAGACACAGTTTTTTTAGACCACTTGACCAAGTCAAGTGTTCACTGAAGTTGAAATCTTTGATCTTGTCGGTTTTAGATGAAAAAATCAAGTCTTTAATGTATAATAGCTATGTGACTGTGGAAGGCATGTCTGCGATCTTGATTAGAGTTAGAAACTTCTTTATCAATAAACGTAATCGGAGTAAATAACAAGTGATCATCTGGATACCACAAGATATCTCCATGCAGATACTTTGATTCGCTGTTCTTATCCGCAGAGCCCACCTGATCCACATGATCCAGCTCCGAAAGTGTAACACTCAGAACATACAGTGCCAATATTGTACATCGGATTGTTGACAATATTTCCTCTGTGAAATTAACAATTTTGTTTGGCGGCAACGGAATTTTCATACTTACTCTGGCTGATAGCGACAAGATTGTACATATTCATCTCCACATCTAGCAATGGAGCAACCAATTTCTCTAGTTTGAGCCCAGGCCATCTTAACATTGAATATTTGTCAAAATGTAGGAGGTAACCATGAGTTTTGCCAAGTAATAATTACTCTAGTGTATGATTCGACGGGAGTGCCGACTAGTGAGTCGGTGAAAATTGCGCTCGAGTCAGGATTAGGATGATACTGGTAGACATCCCACCACTCTCTGATTGCCTAAAATAAATTTTTCCCAATGTTAATAACCTACTAGGTGTTTTACCTTTTTAACCATATCTTCAAAGGTAAATAAATCACTAGTGATAGTACCGCGATAGAAATTCTCCGCTGGATTCAAGCACGATGGTTTTCTATGTGCACGTTTAGGACAAGTAGCTATATAATCACGCGCCTGTTGCTCCAATGCACAAGACCATATCTGCAATCTGCTGGCTCACAACAAGACAAACTCTCATCCGGAAAAGAAAAGGAATGGCAGCTTTGCGTAAACTGACCAAACGATTCATGTTAGATGCAGTTGGTAACATCCTCCCGTGATATCTGAGCTGCCCTCCTGCCAGCTGTGCTCTAAAAATGACGTTTCCAAATTTAGCTTCTAGTTGAAGGTACCGTTTCAAAAGACATGAAAAGTGAGATTTTTACATCAGATTAGTGGAGATACTAAGATAGACTGGTACAATCTTCCTTGTGTGAGCGGAGGGCTTCTTCAAGTAAACCTTGATTCAACTGACTTGGCGGCTGGAAGGCTTTGTGATCTAGTCAAGGCCGCTCGCGCCCGCGACACAGTCTGCGCCTCTCTTTCGCGCGTGCTCTCTGATCATTATCTAGCCTTAATTGGGTCACTAAGCTCCGCATTCCAGCCGCCAAGCCAGTCGAATCAAAGGGTAGAGATTTGCCGAAATTCCTAGCTTGTACTATGAAAAAACGGAAGGCACATGGTGAAAACTTGGTACATACGCCACCGAAACAGCAACAACATAACATAACATTTGATGTTAAAAAAAGCTTTGCTTGCAAAGTTTTCAAACACTTGGTAAATGCGGCACACTCAATGTACTCGTCATCAAGTTTGTTCTAGTCAATGTGTGAATAGATTCTTTCAAAATTTGCAGCTTGCGGAGCGGTTTGGGTATTACATGTGAGGAAGGAAATTTTTGCAGCATCCATGAATGAAATTAGTGAATATGACTGCAGGTATGTGTACTCGTGCTTGAGATTATGAATAGTGATTTATCTGAGATCTTGCGGAAAGAATACAGCTTTGAATTGAGTGATTGCTGAATTCAATTGCTTTCCTATACTTCTACTACTTTCAAAAAATAAATTGAAAATGAAGCTAGCATTGACACTTTGACTGCGCAACTTCTACTTTTTATGAAAACTCTCCAAAACAGCAACCGTCAGATCAATAATGAAACGGTTTTCTCACATCGTGGACATAGAATCGCTTCAGATTATATGCGATCTCGAGCTGTTGAACATAAATACCTAGATTTTTAATTTTATGTTCTTCGAAAAACAAGTCAATCTCATTTTTGCATATGAAGATAGCGATCATATTGAGCTGTGACGCTATGTTTTGCGAGGAATGATTAGCAGTTTGTGATAAATCACCACTATTCGTCTGCCATTTGGAAATATAATACAATTCATTTTGTATAAGTTGAAGTAACATTTAAACTCTTCATTACTCCTATCACAGGGCGTTCCGCAGATAAGGAGGCAAGTTTGATTTAGCCTTTGTAGCCTTTCAAGAATATACGCACCTCATCTCAAGAGTACAGTGCGATCAAGAGCCGCATGGTTTAATTTACCCACAGAAAAGGGAACCGCAATTCAAAGGAAAGCTTTATATTCTGAATCTGTGGAGTTCTGATTTCACGTCGTCTTTCCTTTCTCATGTTTCACTACCCTTTACTATAGGCATATCGAACTGGAGAAAGAAGTTGCGTGAATCCATTCTACAGCTTTTTGTAAGATCATCGTGTTAATCTCCGGCCCAACCGTTTTATTCCAAGTCATTTTTCTTGTTTTAAAAGCAGTAAGAATCTAAACATGTTTCGGGTAGGAATAAATGTTACTAGAAAAGTGAGATTTTCCGATAATCATCAAATTTCGACTTTGGTTCATCGAGATTCTCATTACTTCAATTGCATCGTTTGTTCCTGTCGGAAACATGCTTAGCACTATTGGGCTGAATGTTCGTCACAACTATGAGATTTTTTTTACCGAATGTCAAGTTCGAAGAAAGGAATACGAGCTTGAGAAGAAGAAGATGGGGGGAGGGGGCGATTCAAGGGATCATACGATAAGCTGGAGAGCGGCTTGTGCAACTTTTCGCTCCTGTCCAGTATTTCTATGGTAAATAATAAAAGAATTTCCTCAGAGTAGATAGCGGTCTGAAATTTAGAACTCCGCAGCTTCATTGAAGCTTTCCTTTAAATTGCGCGTTTTCTTCCCCAGCGGGGATTTCAAAGGCAGTTTCCGGGCAAAGCGATTTTGAGATTTTGTGCTTACTTGGACCTATTCGCTATGCTCAGGGCCCGGCACGAGGTATGCAAATGACAAGCTGGAAATCGTTTTGGGGCCAAAAAGTAAAGGGGATATCGTTTTTGCGGGATCCGGGGCGGAGCCCCGGAAGAAGATTCCAAGTGCAAGCAAAAGAAGGTCGAATCATGCTTACCTTATACATCTAATTCGTCGGAAAATATTTTTCATAAACGTCAACGCACAGCAGACTTCGCGCGCACTACGCCGCGTTGCCGCTAATTGCCGCGTGCGCGACGTCGCATGAGCGATGCCGTTGAACAGCATGATTACATGATCAGTTCTTAATGCAGACGTAATGATATAGCACCAAATTAAGTAAGCGAACAAAGAAAGGCTAGTAGAAACAAAGCATGAAATGTTATGAAAAACTTTTGTGAATGGGAGGTGTAGTAAGCATCTCTTCCAAAAATTTCGCAAAACTGGTAAATGAAGATGTGAATTCAAATGGCTCCTTGCAGCGCACAGATGACCATACGGCATAAAACTTGGTAGTACATGAACACGGGCCTGCAGGGCTTAACTTAGAAGTTTTATTGAAAAATTATGTGAATGAAGGTTGTGGCAAGCTTTTTTTCTGAAAATTTCCCACTTTCGAGGAGATGGAAAAATGGCTCGTTTGCAGCACAGAGAAAACGAAATCGAGCGAGACTTGGTGTGTATACGCGCAGTAGGACTAAGGAACAATGTATGAAAAATTATGAAAAACTTATGTGAATGAAGAGCGTGCTTTTTTCCAAATTAGGTGGGCAATGCCCACCTGAGGTGGGCAAAACTTTCCATTCACATACTTTTTTCAAAATTTTTACGTAAATCTGTTGTTCACCTGATATTTACTGTATGGTGAGATTTTGGTTCCAAAACTCTTGCTCATGTCTTTGTTAAAGCCCAAAATCGCATCAGCAGCCTAGCTTTCTAACAAGGAAAGGAAGGTTGGTCGAAGTGCCCTTTTGAAATGAGATGTATACCGCCTTGTAGAGATTGGAACGCTGATTCCAAATCTACCTTTGCTATCTGCTGCGGGCTTCTGGGCGAGGAGTTATGAAGGTTTTCGTGAGTAAAAATCTAAATGCAAGAGTAGGCTAAAATCAGTCGCAACATTTTTATAGGGCTTAATTGGTAGTCGGGTCACTCGGTGCAACAAATATTTCTTGGTCCAGATATACCAATTCGCTGCTGCCTCATTTGAACATTGGGAAAAGGTTACGACTGATTTTACCCTATTTTTGCATTCAGATTTTTACTCACAAAAACGTTCATAACTCCTCGCCCAGAAGCCCGCGGCAGATAACAAAGGTAGATTTGGAATCAGCGTTCCAATCTCTACAAGCCAATATATACCTTATTTCAAAAGGCCACTTCGACCAACCTTCCTTCCCTTGTAAGATGGAAAGCGCGCCCCAGCCAATCGATACGCGCGGGAACGGCGTCTCTCAGTCATACGACTGCGTCCCTTTGCTACTTTTTCATTCCTTCATCATTTTTCTTGCTTATTCTTATTCCTGTTTTCTATCTTGATGAGGAGTAATTAGAGGAATTTGAGCATTATGGGCGCTTTTGAGCGCTTTTAGGCGAAGTGTGGCCGGTGCTCTCGTTCCACAAGCACAAAGCGTCATTTTTGGGCTCAAGGGGGTATTCGTAAAAACTATTGAGGTCAAAGGGGAATTCATTTTGGAAAACCCCGTCTGCCCACCTCGTGCCGGGCCCTGGCTATGCTGAATCCGAAATCCACACTGGAGAGCGCGAAAACGGCGAAAAATGACTCTCATGCAGAGGAAAGTTAGCAGGCAAGCGAGGTCTTCACCACTGTGACTTTACGCTCCCAGCTTCAGGAGCTATATTCTCGGTTGCGATGTCGGGTCACGCGTTCGCACTTGGCCGGTGGCGATGTTAAGGCAGCTGTCGGAATTGAGATTTTTCCGGAAGCTGAGAGTGTGAATTCACGGGGAAAACCACGTCCACCTGCTGATCCCCAAAACACGTTCGCGATCGCGTCAAGTGGTCCAAGCAAAGCGGCTCAGGAGGACTCGAGCCGCGCCGACAATGGCACTCAGATTGGAATCTCCTGTACCTTCACGGACCCTGTCTATAAGGCCGATAGAGTTTGATTGATGATAATATTAACGTACCGACGTATGTTGTGCATATCCAATATAAGTATTCTAAGAGCATCTGTCATATCGCCATGACCACAAATGGTATCTGATTCTGAATGGATAGATTGGAGGTAAGCGAGAAATTGCAGGAGTGCATGTCCAGTCTTAAAGCAATATTTCTGTCAAAGGGGAAACAATTTGTATTATTATTGATGTTACGACGTATTATGTGATAGATTTCCTGGTACTTAATTTCGCTGCAAAAAATTTCAACAATTGGGAATTATGTATCTACATTCATTTATTTATTTGCAGAACCATTCCTACTTTATCAAGCAAACTTTCACATACCTTGACCACTGATATCAGGGAATATTGGTTCAACACATAGAGGAATGGGTCTTGATACTGTGCATAAACCGATCGGATCACGGAAATTGGAACAATCGCAGCTGCCGCTTCCGGCCTCATACACTTTGTCTCCATGTTTTAAATCACTGCAATAATCCTTGAATTCTTCTTTTGATTACAGCTATCAAGATGTAAAAGTCTTGAACAGGCTTAACAGCCAATACAATCAAAAAGAACTTAGGGATGCACTAGTTTGGTAGAAAAAAGGTTCATATGTGTTCATATGTTAATTTGAATTACTTTTTTTTTTCAGGAAAATCCAAGGACTTATAGAATTTCGCTTGTACCTTGAAAACTAGACTTATTTATAGAGCAATGTGCCGTGTCTCAGTTCGGAGTGGACGAATTTTACATCAAAGATTGCCAACCCACTTAACTTGCGGTACTTTTGCTCAACAAAAGTGCTTGTCTTTGACAGATTTATAGCGTTCCAATTTATATAACCAGTAGTCACTGTTAATGTAAATAAGGTCTTTGCTGTCCATCACATTTTGTTAATTCTTTTTCAAATAAGGAGTCATGCTTTAAAGGCAAAGGCATATAAAATTTCAAGATTGCGCAATGATGCTAAGGTTGGTCGTGTCAAATAATGACAAACTTTAGCAAACTTTACAAATCTTCTTGCTGTTATCTAACAAACTGAACTGAGTAATATTGTTGCTAATAAATCACTGGCATTCCTGTGCATTAGTGACAAAACGGTGTTAATAAACTACAGTATTTGATGTGATTCAATCTGTGTTACTGGCTAGACTTTGTGTTTATGTTTCTGCGTTTTTTCTTGCTGCTGGTGCGCCTTAACATATAATAAAAAAATAAATAATACAAATTAATAAATTAATATCTACACTGGACGATTAACTGAGTGAATACAGTCGAGGTTAGGAACTTGCTAAGTTTCGTTTTTGGACTCCATTAGTCTTCCTTCATTACCAACGCTTATTCGATATATTCTATTACCACAGATATGATTTTGCTGGTCTCAGAATGAAGGTACACAAAAGCTGCTAATCGTTTCCAATTTTGCTTAGTCGGAAACAGTGAGCAACCACGCCTTCTTTGTTTCTTCCGCTCATTGAACCTTACACCGCTTCAACGCACTTACTCCCTTTCTAACAATACGAGAAATTTGCTGCAGTACAGCTTTGACCAGTAAAATTTATACTTAGCCTGCAAAAAAAGTTTTTGAATTCTGCAAATTTACTATTTTTCGGCTGTATGAATTTCGTAGGGGGAAGAGCGGCGTAGTGGTATGAGGCGCCGTTATGACCAGATCGGACCCAGGTTCGATCCCCGCCCCTGGGCCAATTAAGCCCTCTACCCTCCGGGTTCGGTAAATTGGTACCAGAGTAATCTGGGAGGATAAAAGCACTGACTTGGAAACGGCTGGCCCCCTTAAGTCATTGTGATAGGCTCGAACGCATACAATTTCCTCTTCGACTATGAAGTTAGTGTGCGCGTTCGGCGCATGCCCTCAGAGGGTATTGGAGACGCCGAATCCTTTATCCTTATGAATTTCATAAAATGTTGCTACTTTTCGAGGACTTTTTAGCACTTACGGTTGGTTGGTGATGCAGTATAGGTTGAGTACTGAAGGTTGACCGGGATTATGACACACTTGCCTAGCGCAACCTATTTCCGTGGCCGTGGAGCGCATTAGCTGTAAATGAGTTAGAAATAATTAAACGCGAAGTGTAAAGAAATCTATTCGTACGTTGGCATATCCTTTGAGCTTTCGATCCGCGTCCAAATAAGTCACTCCACCGTAAACTGAACTGAACGAGTGGTGATTGATAGCAGAGTGGTGCTTATGGAGCATGGAAGTGATGGGAATATTATGGTGACGATCGTACGAACTGAAAGTTGAGAAGTGAGGTCTGATGTAAAAGAATGCGTGAATGACAATCTGACATGGAGGCACAATCGCCCGTTTCAGCAATCGGTTTAAGATCGTGCTTCCTATTAGGTTGATTCCATGACTCTTAACCGAATTAATTCATTCTGCATTAAGCCATACTCCTACCAACTTGCATAAGTTCCAGCATACCATTCAAAAAAGGAAAGGAAGCTCCATAAAGGGTCGAGCATACTTCACGCGATTTCAGTCGCGACGAGATTTGGCAATATTCCAATTGTCCACAGCTCATTGTAAGCACATTAAAATGTACAGAATAGGGCATTGCATCAATCCACGTAATCTATACACACTATGTGCAGTTTGGTAGTTTTGAATCTGAAGACTGCTGGCGAATTGCCAAATCGCCTCGCGACTAAAATCGCTTGAAGTACGCCCGACCCTTAAGAAGATACAAGCGAAGTTTGGAGCAATCAAAAAATTTCAAAAAATTGAAAAATCGAAAAGAAATTATTACTTCCTTCAAAAAACCTACGAACCTTTTACCCGTACAAGCATTTACATCCAAAAAACATTCATATATGCAGTTGCTGTATTTATTCCTCAACTAGAAACGAGAAGTAGAGGATTTTTCTTTTCCTTGTCAAACCAGTGCTGAGCCGCTCCCACAGTAGTATATGCAATATAGTGTTCAGAAGTACGACCGTGGATCTCTAGGCTTTTACCGGAACTAGCCTCTGGGAATCTTTGAATTGCAGCCCCTTTCCGGAATCTTCATGCAGAATTATATTTTTTCAGAACTAGCTTTTGTGGGCAACTGAGAATTCACTATTCCACTCTCAAAGCTTGTAGTATACTACTGTGAAAACAGCTCAGCTTTTGAAAATGCCCAAAACTCTCGACTTCTCCATTTACAGCAAAGAAACTACATTGTACATATGAATGTTATATGTGGAGTTAGATGCTTGGGCTAGTAGGAAACTTGTAGGATTTTTGGACAAAGTTATAACTTGTTCCCGCTTTTTCGACTCTTTGTATCCTCTTACTTGTTGGCTTCTCCCTTCGCTTGTATGAAAATTATTGCAAATGTTCAGCTGCTATTTTTGCGGAGCTTGCTTTGCTTTATCGAATATTATGCTGGAATCTATTTAGGATGTAGAAGGAACCCTTTTGGAACAACAAATTGTTTTTCGCGCAACTGCAAGAAGCAACGACTCACTTTTTCCTCAGTTCTAGTCATTTTCTTGCTAATTTCTGTGATTTTACTGTTTGTTTACTCATTATATACACTACAGCCATCAACCTGCTCTGCTGCTTTTCATAAACGTAATTGTTACGCAACTTCTGAGATAAGGTCGGCAGTAAATCAGAAAAGGTTTCGTCGATAATCAATTCAAGTAATGATAATTTTTTAAAATGTGAAAAAAAATGCTTAACAAGCAATAAAGCCGTTGCCAAAATGTTTCAGAGGTGAGCATTTTTTCATTGCTATTCTTTCGCAATGAACGTGAATGAAAATTATGGATGCGTGTGGGTCAGATTCTTCAAGAAAATCCCAATAAGCAGTTCTGCAACATTTTCTGAAAACTGCGGAATCGTTATCCAGAAGTATTTTCCAAGCGACCGCATTACAATGCCGTCAGTAAAAATACAAACCCGAACTTTTCTTCAAAATTATGACTAACATCTTAATACATGCATCCAGAGCAGTCAATAATTAATATGTGAAGTGTATCAAATCAAAAGATCTGTTGAGTTTCTCACCACAGAATATCGAAAATCAAGAAGAAAGCAGTCATACTTACTCTAACAAAAAAATTTCTATATGGCAAAAAGCGCTTCCAAACAAAACCGCCAAGAGACAAAAGCTTCCAACTATTATGAACAGACTTAATATGCGATGAGAGCAGGTAGCAGGAAACAAACTGAGAAAAAGTGCTGTCGTACGTAACTCTAGTACGAAAATGACCGTAATGTCGAAAGATTTAGTGCAGGAAAAAGAAAATTAGAAAAATGCAATGCAAAAGTTGACTCAAATGTTCTGATAGTGTTCCGATAGCTTATGTTTCCGATTTGTGGACAATAATTGTCCGCGGTACTGGGAAATCCCTATTCAGAACTATTTAACAGTTACTTTCTAAGTCATATTACCAGCAATATGGGCTACAAGTGCTGCAGCCCCTGAAAGGCTCTATCAACATGCCAGATAAGTTTTCACTGTCGACTTCCTTTGGAAATGAGAGGTAAAAGCGTTTCGATCTTTTGGAGAGCCTTGTGCATCAGTCTCTCTGATGCAAGTCAAGCATCATTCGTTGTGCCTATTTATGAACTAATCGTAAGACAGATCTTAGACGGAATGCAATAAAGCAAACAGCAATTAACGGGATTGTTCACATGCATACCTCAAAAACACATAACCATGACCAGTGTTCGGTGCATCCGAGGAACAGTTTGTGATAGCAGCCCTTGCTATTCTTTCCAGGTCGCAACTCCATCTCTATAGAACGTGAGCTATATAAATGCTGCTTCCACAGGTGTTGCTTGAAAGGGTTTTGCAAGAAATTCTAACACTGGCAGAGACTGCACCAGTTTACTTCCTACTGCACTTATCTACAAGTCTTGTGCGTACCCTTTGATTCAACTGGCTTGGAGACTGGAAGGCGGGGCTTCGTGACCTAATTAATTCTAGATAATGCTCAGAGAGCATGCTCCCGGGAGAGACGCAGACTGCGTCGCGGGCGCGAACGGCCTTAATTAATTCACAAAGCCCGCCTTCCAGCCGCCAAGCCAGTTGAATCAAAGGCTATGCAAACTACAAATGCAGCCTTTTATGCTAACACTAGAATACCATTGAGTCAATGCTCTTGGAAAGCTAATCCGGTCGAACAACCGTATAAGGTGGTAGACAATACAATTTGTCTATGTTCACAATCGAGTACATTACTTTGTAAGAAAATCCAAATTTATAGGAAAGAAAGAGAAGAAAAGTAGACATTTTTGAAGGTTTTGAATTGCAAGAGTCATAGAAGGCAGCACTTCTTGCCCTTTATCAAAAATGCAGATATGCTCTTGTTGTAATGAACTATTTACAAATTTCTACGTTACACATACAAATCGGCCTTCCAATCGTTGTTAACTTACCAACTTATTCATATCTCTAGCCTCGGGTAGGCTTCTACAAACCGTCCTTCTGTCACTGCTGCATCGTCCATTCTGTTGCATCCCATTAGCGAGTGCGAAACGATAATGGTTAATGAAGGAGAGAATTTTGCATGTAATTTGACTTTCCGTAAAGCTGCCACCGCTACAGTACGGGATATCTAAAGAAAGAGCTTTTAGAAGCATCAGATTTTCAAAGCTCTTTGACAAACTTTATAGAGTTTTGAAAATTTCTTTTTTTTGTTTTGAATGTCGAGCTGTATATCATGTTCAAAAGAAAACAATGCCGCTTTTTATGAGTTTTCTCAGCTAAACTCGATATTTCTCAAGAACTAGGGCATAAAATTTTATTGTTAAAGATTAATGGGTTTGTAGTATACAACAGCGTGTATAAGAGGAGTTCTGTACTACAGAGGGTGGAGTAGTCATCTTCCGTCCTTAATTTTTTCAATTACTAAGCATAAAAAAATACAGCAAGTGCACCTATGGATAAGCACAAGTGTCTGTTAAATGCAGGAGCAAGTGAGGGGTTCGTATTTTTCGGGGGTAAAAATCCAATTTTTGGCACCATGAGCTGCTCCTAGGTTTTGGCTCTGAACTTTGCGTAAAAAACGACTTCTGCCAGAGCTGAAAGATCATGTAGAACTTCCTTTGCTCTATCGAATGCTAACCTCCACATATTTTTGTATTTATCTTATTGCTTGCCATGAAAAACGACATTCTCTTCTTTCCAGACCTATTACTATAGTGAGTATGAAGAAATAATAAGTTTTTTTTATAACGCTACTTACTTGACTGCAAGAGACTTTAGCAGAAAAACCAAGACTTTAACCGATTTTCTCACCTGGAACTTCAGTGAGAGCAGTTGTAGGAACAGCAATAGTTGTATCAACTTCAGTAGTAGCAGCTTCAGTATCCTCCTCTTCTTCAGTTGTAGTAGATTCTTCAGTGCCTTTTATTATAAAGCAATAAGAGTAGTGAAAAATTGATTTTGGTACCTTCTTCGTTATCAAATGCAGTAGTGGAAGTATCTATATCTTCAAATTCAGTAATAGTTTCAGTTTCAGTAACTTCATCATCCTCTTGAGTAGTAGATCCAGTCGTAGTAGTGGTTGTAGTCTTTGGAGAATATGTTTTGCATAAACCCCACCAATTGCGATCACAACCGTAAGAGCAATCACAGATACCACTTCCTCTCTCGTACACCAATTGACCTTTCTCTACATCGCTGTAACTTTATGAAATAAGTACTGTATTTTGTTACTACAGCATTGAATTTAGCTATCTAACTTTCTTAGGTACAGAAAGTGGAACTTCCGCTTTACAAAGTGAAAATTAGCACGAGAATAGGAAGTATATGACAAACGTGCTCCGCCTGAACTTGTCAGTAACATCCTTTTTTCCTTTTCGTGAACAGCATCCTCACCTACCCCCTGTGCCAACTCCCAGCCTCATAGGTAAAATTTCCAAAAAATCGATAAGATCGATATCAAGACTAAAAGTAGCCTATGACCCCCCCCCCCTCCACCCCGAAGCGTATGTGTGCCAAGTTTGGTCCGGATCGGTCCAGAAATGGAATTTTCTACTCAAAACGTACGTACACGCAGATAGACAAACAGATATTCAGCTCTATTGTATACAGATTCAAAAGTCATTGAAGCTTATCAGTTTCCCTCCAACTTTCCCAAAAACAAAACCTTGCCGCAAAGACGATACGACTAGAAAGCAGGGACTAAAAGTGCTTATTGTAATTACAACTCTGGTCTCAGCCACTTAAGGAACGAATTCAGGGTGGCTACAATCTCCACCTCCAAAGTGCGCGTCGAGTAGTCTAGCTTGATTTTATTTTCTTTAGCCTTTATCCTGTTTTTGATGGAGAAAAAAGTGAGAGGGCTCCCCGTGATCGCGAAATTAGGTGATTTGCGACTATTGAATACGCAGGATGCCAAGAGGCCCCAGGCTATTGAACAATTCCGTACTCTTCAGAATCATTTCAGCTAATTGGAAGCTAACATCTTAGCAGAAAACCGTTAAAAGGTGAAGAATAATTGAGAAAGATTGATACGCGTGCAATGACCGCAAACTCAACGACCGCGATCACGCGGAGCCCTATACTGATGACCGCAGCTAACCAAAAGCGTTTCGAAACATTAGTATCTGTGAGAACTTATTCAATCAAGGCCTTACTCTTTTGAGTAATGCCTTGAATTAGGTTGTAAAAAATTAATGTCGTTTTTCATTTGCTTGCTATGGCACCGCAACCAGACGAATCTCATTGTCAAGAATGCAGGAGGAATAAAATTAATGTCGTTTTTCATTTGCTTGCTATGGCACCGCAACCAGACGAATCTCATTGTCAGGAATGCAGGAGGAATACAGTTCGATGGGGCAATGCATGCTCTACAGACAGATTTTGATGCTTCCGCGCCAAGATCGTTTTTCAGGAGTTGAAAATCAACTCCTAAAACTCGCAGATGCCCAAAAATTGAAAAAATTGGACCTCCGTCCAAAACGTTTTAACGAACGGGCCATTCGCACACATTTCAACATCAACCACTCATATACACAGTTGCAGTATTTTTTTTCTTTGACTAAAAAATGAAAAATCGAAAATCTTCGTTTTATTTTCTTGAAGCAGTACCGGGCTGTTATAACAGTAGTAAATCTGTACTACAGGCCTCTAGTATTACTGCAAATTTTTAGCCTTTTTGCAAGCTTAAGTTTTTCTTCGAAAATTTCGATTTTAGGAGAAAGTCCAGCAAAGGTAGAACAAATTTGTTGCTTCTCGAAAAGGGCTAAAAATTTATAGTAACACTAGGTCGTTCCAAAAGTAATTTCGCTTTTTACAAAGGTGCGCCAACTTGATGGAACTAAGATTTCTGAGAGACCTTGATAGCGTTCGAGGCAGCATTTCATCCTCTTTCTAACTGTCTAAAATGCATTGCAGCACAGTCAATGAGCCCTTAAAAAGTTATCAAAACCTGCGACTCACGCTTTTCGAAATGCTCAATTTTCGCAATTTTTCTGAATTTTTATATCAAGTCTCCGAAGGAGCCTAAGTAATGGATGGATAGACCAAATCTACAAGATACAAAACAATTTTTCTCTACTTTTTTATAGCTCGTCATTTTTTTTTTCAAATAGAAAATTGATAGCACCAATTTCTACATTTGATTAACATATCGTAGAATATTGAACTGTGAGCAGCTCGGGTGTTATTCGATGCGCGTTTTCACCTTTTTTCAATGGATGTTTTTGTTTTCGTGCGGGATCTTCGGAAATAAGATCACCGTAATTTATGCTTTCAAACGCTCCCCATGTTATACCAGAAAAATTCAAGATTAGATAATCGATCCCGTAAAAAGTCATTTGCTTTGTAAATTTAGTTTAAATCATGACATTTTGAGTTCCAAATCCCGAAGATTTAATGGTGTTTGATGCGTAAGTGTTGGCGTTGGCATGCTAAAATCAGCGGGTTTAGTGAAAAAAATTTAAAATGCGAAATGCGGAAAGGGAAAAAAGTGTGTTGTTTCCTGTAGGGTTTGCTCCATCCACCTGTAACTTGGACTCCTTCGGAGGGTTGATACAAAAGTTTGGAAAAACCGTAGAACCTGAGCATCTTAAAAAGCATAGGTCGCAGAGATTTTGGTAATTTTTCAAATGCTCATTGGTTGTGGTGCAATGTATTATATTAGGTTGTTGCAGAAATAATATCCGTTTTTCTAGGCCTACATCTCAAACAACTTTTTTCCATTAAACTTTTTTTTTCGGTAAGAGACTGCATATCATTGGAAAGCTCTCCTCATGTATTGTCCGGTGGTGGAATTAAGCTGTTATCCTCATCTTGAGAATTTTAACAGCATTTTGCGCATCCGCACTCAAACGGAATCTCAAAGCTTCCACTTTCTTCACCACAATTCAAAAGCAAATGAATGAATTCTTCTGAAAACATAGCATCTGTATTGGATGAAGATTGTTTACCTACTGCGTGCTTATGTGGATTTTTGGAAATATCTGGACTGAGAAATTGACGCCTCGAGATAAATACTCACTGCTGGCATTATGGATAAGAAATTTCTCATAATTGAGGCAATCGCCAAAGCTTCGCTTATTTCTGTAAGCTTGAGATTAGCACACTTTAACTACAATATTTGAACAGAAACTCAGCGCTCCAGTACGCGAAGAATTCCAAATTTTTACAGTTTGGCACTTACAAGCCTACAGCAAGTAGGCTCAAAAAGTAAACTTTTTGAATTCTTTCTTTTCTTTGCGCAAAACTCTTTCGTTGACTTTTCTATACACACATAAACTCATGGCCTGCTGCTAGAATAAGCTGAATGTCAGCCGTACGAACAAATCTAGGGAATTGTAAGCTCTTAAAGACGAGGTTTTCAAAAGAAAAACTTTCAGTTTTTTGACGCGTGGTTTTCTTCCCGTCTGCGATATCAGTATGAGCAGGAGCGCGCTAACTTACGAAAGGTTTGCTGTTTCTGATGATCTTGACCGCATTCAAAAATATGAGGACTAAACGAAGTTATAGCCTTCCAAACTGAAAATTTGCAAAACGGACATTATTTTTGCAACGACCTAATATTTACGGTCATTAGAAGGATGAAATGCTGTACCAAATGCTATCAAGGTGTCTCAGAAATCTTGGTTTTCAACGAGGCATCCCTTCAAATGAAGCGAAATTACTTCAGAATGACCTAATTTACAAAGGCTTGTAGTATAGGACGAAAACATTCAATTTCTTACTTTGTAATAAAGAAAAAATACAGCAACAGCATAAGTCAATGCTTGATGTCGATAGCATACAATATCAGTCTCAGAATGTGCAAAATTTCCGCGAATATCGCGGAATTCCCGGATTTCCACGGCATTCGCGGAAAATTTGCACATTCTGAGAGTGGTATTGTAGATGTGTGCGAATGGGAGGTCCGTAGGAAGTTCTGCACGGAGATCCATTATGTCGATTTTTTGAGCACTTGGAATTCTGATTCAAATTTTTGATTCCAGGTAGAGCAATCATGGCGCAAAAGCATCATTATTAGATCGTAAAGCTTGCTTTGCTCTATCGAACTGTTCCCCTCATGCATTTCTGGGATTCATCTGCGGTGCCATAGCAAGCAAATAAAAAATGACATTATTTTCTTGACAACCTGATATATTCAAGTTATTGATGTATAATATAGACTAAAGCCCGGAGCTCACGAAACAGACATTTATAGACGCGAACTCTTTCTAACCATTATTTTGCACTTTTACGGTATGCTTAGCTCGTGCTTTACACGACATGCATTGTGATTACTTTCCATTAAAGATGTCTTTGCTATTTTTTCGCTTGCTTTTTTCTACGATGAAAAATTCAGAAAGCGCGACAAAGTTTCGGGACTCATTTTTAAAATTAATCTGATCGTGAGCCAAAGAGTACTATCGTCTGTGGTTTGCAATAAAAGCTTTCTTTCTATAATTTTTGTTACTGCAGCTACTGACTCCTGATAAGCTTTGAAATACTCCAGTTTTTGGAATTGAATTACAGCATAGCTTCCCTTCTGAGTCCTTGAAAAAATCTTCTATTTCATTTTTCAAAATATTTTTCAATGTCATAAGAAGTATGTAGTGGTAATGCTTACAGATTTATATCTGAAATCCTTAGATATATCAGAGACACTTACGGTGCATCGGTTATACAGTACAATATGTAGGTACCGATGTATACGCATCGTGCCCACGCGCAACCTATTTGTGTAGCCGACGAGCGCATTAGCTGCAAATTAATTGTATTAGCTCATATAGCCACAATTATCAATTATCATTACATTAGCATAAGACTTGTAACGATTATCTTGGTACTCATGTGGAGGCGAAAAGATTGCACCGTCAGAGGCTTCAGAAAGTGGAATATCAGGTGAGTTGAGTAGAGCTCGCAAAGGTACGTCAAAGGTTTCGTCGTAAAAATAGTCCCTGAAAGGTTTTTTGGTGGACTTTCGTCGTTTCAAAAGACTTATACACGTGGTAAACAATTAAGGCTACAACGTAGTAATCACCACTAGCAAGCATGTTCGAAAGCGCACCTTGTTGTTAGATCACTCTGTGAAACTAAAGGATTTGAAGGACTTTCCGCAAAATCTCTGTGATGGTTCCAGTCTCAAATTCATGGTGTTGTCTGTGGGCCGAAGTTCAAAAATAGACTGCGAGCAATTCAATTTTACCGCGATAAGCTGCTAGATTGTGTTCCAAAACGCCAAAACATGCTCTAATCGGAGAAGAGTCTTTTTTATTGCAGATCAAGCGACGAAGACTTTTGATCATCCAGGACCACTTGATATTTGTTCTATGTCAAGTATCAAGAAGGCGTATCAGAAATTTAGTTTTTTCGCTAACGTTGGACATGTACCAGTCCTCGTATGACGCCAACTAGAAGCCTTCGTCATTTATTTAGAGTGAAAAAAAACTCTTTGTGTTTGAGGCATGTTTGTGTATCTCAGGATCCAGGTACTTCAAAAGTCTGTCAAGTTACAGTTTGAGTATCTTCTCGCAAATGGAACTGAGCACTAGTTATATGGCCAAAGAAATGGAGAAGCTGATACATCATAGAGGGATTCGCAAGTTGGTACTTTTTTTTACTTTGCGTTAAATTCCCTGTAATCTTCTAATTTTGCAAAGCAATCAAACAGCTTTCACATGATATTAGGTTGTTACATAAGTTTTGTTACACTTAACTTCTAATGGCGATAAGTCGTACACCTCATAGTTTTTGCAGGGTTCCAAGGTATTAGGCTGTCCGGAAATTAATGCAGGGTTTTGCATATTCTCACTTCAAAGCGTCATAACTCCTTTGAAATCGCAAATTTTGAAATGAGGTAAAAACTACTACGATCAGCAAGTCTTTTTCTATTTGGGCCACTTTCTTTTGTAACTGTAGCTCTAACAAGCAAATTACCGAAAGCCAGAAAGTAAAAAGAATTTTTTTGACAAGGTCATATTTGGCAAGTTGTAAACTCCTACCGATTACGAGTGTTCAGCCAGAAACTTCTGTAGCTTATAGCCACAGACCAGTACTACATATATAGCTATGCAGAAAATTTTTTAGAAATTTTCTGCGAAAGAAAAATTTGCGCAATCAAAAATTTCCATTTTTTCGATGTTTCCTCCGAGGCTGCGATCTCCGATAATTATGATTTTTTTATTAACTCATCAAAAATAAAGCCTGGGAGGTACCAGTTGAGATAATACCTGACGGCACTGGCCTCACTCTTTGAGCACGAGGAGAGACTTTCACGGTTGCTTTCTTTAGAAAAGTTTTCTACGCCATGGAGCGGCCGCGACATTATTCATGTTAAAGCCTCAATTTTTCTATTCTCACAATCGTTCAAAAGAAGCGCTACTATCTATTTTGTAGGTTCACTCAATATCTTGCTTCAGCTATATTATCATGGAAATATCCCTCTTGCCGAATAAGTTCAAGCCAAAATAGTGCAAAGGGTAAATTTAGTAATTTAAAGCTTCAACTTCGGATGGTTGTAGATTTCGAACAAACGATGTTGGTCGTGTAAGTAATACATATAAGAGAGAGCATGAAGAGCGGCTTCTTTTAGTATGCGAAATTGGTCGAAAGATGCACATATACAGAATAACAATTTTTTTGAAATTGCATTTGCAGAAACCTGCATTAATTTCCGGACAATACTATTCGATACTATTACTATTACTATTACTATTCGATAGAGCTAAGCAAGCTCTACAAAAAGGTCTTCAAAAGTTCGCACCAGCTCCGACCCACCGCAAGTTTGTTCAAAATCTGAGTAGTACTGAAGATTCAAAAATCGCAAAAAATTTATATCTTTGTTCAGAAAAATCCTACGAATCTCCAACTTGCTCACAAAAATTGTCCACTATATCAAACACTCATATATACCGTTGTTGTATTTTTCCTTATCTAGAAATCGAGAAAAGGAAAATTTTTTAGTTTTTACAAAAACGAAGCTATGGTGTTTCCATTCATGCAGCTGTATACTATAAGCCCTTAGAAGTATAACCGTAAATTTTTAGCTCTCCAGAAGCCCTAGTTTTCGGGAATTACCCAGTTTAGCATTGAACGCCCGAGTGGGAGAAGCTAACTTAGGTATTTTTCAGAAACCAGCGCTTCTGGAAAGCTGAAAATTTATGGTTATACTTGTAAGGGCTTGTAGTATACAGCTACATGAATAGAATCAGCATAGCTTCGTTTTTGTAAAAACAAGAAAATTTTCGTTTTCTCAATTTCTAAATGAGGAAAAAATACAGTAACGGTACATATGAGTGTTTGATATAGTGGATAAATTTTGTGAGCAAGTTGGAGAATCGTAGGATTTTTCGGAATAAAGATATGAATTTTTTGCAATTTTTGAGTCTTCAGTACTACTCAGATTTTAAATGCAAACTTACGGTGGGTAGGAGTAGTGCGAACTTCTGCAGACCTTATTGTAGAGCTTGCTTTGCTCTATCGAATGGTACCTTGAAGCCCTGTAAAGACTATGGGGTGTATGACTTGTCGCCGTTAGAAGTTAAGTGTAACAAGACTTATGTAACAACTTAATACTTCTGTCTCATCTTATATATAAAGCTGAATGTTTGTTTGTCTGTATGTATGTATGTATGTATGTATGTATGTATGTCTGTATGTACGTATGTTCCGAATAGAAAATTTTATTTCTTAACCGATCCGGACCAAACTTGGCACACATACCCTTCGGGGCCGGGCGGGTGTCATAGGCTACTTTTCGTCATCGATCGATATCGATTTTATCGATTTTTTGCAAAATTTGAGCTACGGGGCTGGGAGTTGGCACAGGGGGGTAATCGAGCATGCTGATTCACCCCCGTGGGGATGATCAGCATGCTCGATTACACCCCCTGCCAAATTTGCAAAAAATCGATAAAATCGATATCGATCGATAACGAAAAGTGGACTGTGACACCCGCCGGGGCCCGAAGTGTATGTGTGCCAAGTTTGGTTCGGATCGGTTAAGAAATGGAATTTTCTATTCGGAACATACGGCGGAGCCGGGTATGCCAGCTAGTTATGTATAGAGTCAACATGTCGACATTTTCCTCAAGATATAGAAACTTGGAATGGAACCTAGCATAAATTCACAAACTTACTGAAAGAAAGCATAGCCTTGACCATCAGAAGGTGATAGGGTTGGGCACCAAGTGATAGCATCTGCAGCTTGTTTTTCTAATGAGCAATTCCATCCCTAAATCCGTCACATTTTACATCAGCAGATTGAAAAATCTGCATTTTTACTGCTTTTCATTTAGATTTTCGCTTGGATGTAAGCAACTTTCAGAACAATCCTACGGCACCACTTTCAATCACTGAAATGTTTAAACACAAGTCTCAACTTATTTTGTGCCTCAAAGCACCTCTTGAACAATTGCATTGACTGCATGGTTGTTGTTGATGTTGAGAACATTTTATAGAACTTAGAAAGAAACAGAGGTAGACACACGCGTTAGTGAATAATTTACAGGAGCCACTTCGTCGAAAATATAGGACTGTGTCGGCAAGCAAGGCAATCAAGAAAATGATATGCTATATAAAAAGTACTCTGTCACTGAAATCAACTTTCGTTGTTAGCAGCACGTAGTAAAATCAACTTCCGTCGTTAGCAGCACGATGTCCAATTTTCTTGTCGTATCTCTTCTATTGCAGTCTATAGCTTCGGATAGTACTTGAAAAGTTGAATGCATCGATGTACAAGGTGTTTGGAAAGCAAGTGGCCTACAGTGATTCCAATTCGAATTTTGACGCGCTTTTTGTTTTATTGTGCTCATCAGGCTTAGACAACATTATCTCGGCGAAACCAGGTTTTCTTGTGTTTTTTAGTTTTTCTATTAGATTGAATAGATCAATGTAGCTTTCCAAACCACTTTCCTCAAAACGCTTGTTACAAAGAAGTAAACATAATTCACAGAAAACTTGGTATACTATACTTTCTATAAGCGCTTTCTCCAAGGTTTCTTACATGTGCTTTTATTTTTCTAGAAGTAAGTTCGTTTTGAGATACCGTGCCTTGAGATACAAATGATCCAGTTTTAGGATCTTAACCTCAAGGCATTTGATATTAACAAATAAAGCATCGAAATTTTTATTATTTTCAGAACCTTCGCAAGCTTGCAGAGTTTTTGAAAATTAGTACAATCAAAAACACAGAGCTGTGCTACAAAAGCATGTTGAAATAAGACTTCCAAAATTTTAAAGACCGAAAAAATTTCAGAGCAAATTTGTGCCGCGATTGTCTGCTGTAATTTAGCACATAAAAAAATATTTGTTCGTCGCAAGCTGCTGAGGTATTTTTGTTATTTGAAAAAAGTTTTAACCTAGGACTATTTGCGGTAAAAAAACGCAAAGCTATCTCCCTTTTCTGGCGTTGAAAAAAGTAGCAATTTCAGATAATGCACTCTTCCGCCTCTTCAAAGAAGCTAGAAAATTTGTTTGCTTCCAAATTTTTCAAGGTATCCTGAGGCAAAAAATATTCTTCTTTGTTGCCTCAATGGTTTCTAGGTTTAGCAAAAAATGTAGCAAAAACTGAGTTAGGATTCGCAGTTGGAGCACTTGAAGCAACAAACTTCTCAGCCACCCTGTATTATTTAGTCAATGAGCGAAAACATAAAGCGCGGTTCATAATTATACGAACACCTAAAGTTTTGTAGGTTTTCGGATTTTTTGGAAGAATTTCAAAAAGCCGTTGGTACCACGCGATAGAAAACAGCCGGAAACGGTGTATGATCCATAAGAATGGAAATCCATGTCAATTGTAGGAGTGTTTTTGCGCCTTTTTGCGCCGCCGAGCGGTTCATAATTATACGAACACCTCAAACAAAGGTCCATTTTTCATTCAAGATTGCAACCATTTGCATCCAAATTTTTTGTAGAGTTACAGTAACAAAGTCTGACATATCTGCTACACACTGAACCCAGTGCAGTTCAAAAAGAGGACCGTTACTTTTTTCTGAAGGCTCTAAATGCTTTTAGAGTGATTGGGCTCCAGAAACATCCGTTCTTCTGTGGTTTACGCGCTCTAATTAGCTTCTACCAAAGCTATGAGATAAAATAAGCTTTTTCGATAGGTATTTTGTTTGACGCTTGGAAAATCTTTGCGTGTGCGTGCCGTTTTTCAACCAAGCTCCAACCTTACTTCAGATTTAGCACGATTTCGAACCTCAAAACTCAGCTTCTGAAGCCGCACAATGAAGTAAGCATATAGTGTGTAGAAGTTCACAAGACTGTCTATTTGGCTAGAAAAAATCAGCAGCGTTGAGCGTTTGTTTTGGACACGCAGACGTCATTTCACCAAAACCACTGTTTTTACTATTGCACTCACACTTTTATTTGGTTTGTAGCTCCACAGCCTCAAGATCAGTTCTACAAAAAACCCAAAAACTTTGGCACAGAAACATCATCATGCAAACAATGCAGCTGCTTCATATCAAATGTTTGCGCAAGAGAGAAGCTGAGTTTTGAGGCTCGAAATCGTGCTAAATCTATAGTAAGGTTGGAACTTGGTTGAAAAACGGCACGCACACGCAAAGATTTCCCAAGCGTCAAACAAAATACCTATCGAAAAAGCTTATTTTATCTCATAGCTTTGGTAGAAGCTAATTAGAGCGCGTAAACCACGGAAGAACGGATGTTTTTGGAGCGCCATCACTTTAAAAGCATTTAGACCCTTTTGAAAAAAGTAACGGTCCTCTTTTTGAACTGCACTGGGTTCAGTGTGTAGCAGATATGTCAGACTTTGTTACTGTAACTCTACAAAAAATTTGGATGCAAATGATTGCAATCTTGAATGAAAAATGGACCTTTGTTTGAGGTGTTCGTATAATTATGAACCGCTAAAAATTCGCATTAGGCGCAAAAACACTCCTATAATTGATATGGATTTCCATCTTATGGATCATATACCGTTTTCGGCTGTTTTCTATCGCGTGGTACCAATGGCTTTTTGATATTCTTTCAAAAAGTCCAAAAACTTACAAAATTTTGGGTGTTCATATAATTATGAACCGCACTTTATAGTATTCTAAGCACAATTTGCAGAATGAGTGGCGTTATTTTTTATCTTATTTCTGAACAAGACCTCTTTCGTGTTTTGAATATTCTTTAATTCAAATTCGATCCTTTCCAAACACTGAGTTTAATTTTTCCATAAGTCCTATTATTTGGATGTATGCACCACCCCTCCCCTTGCATACTCCAATCACCATGCATACCCTTCCCTCGTTTGGAATGCTTCTCCTACAGTTTTTCTGCCCAGATCAGACTTCGCAAGGTAGGTCGATTGACTTCGTGTTCCTCATTGCCCATCTTGCTGCCATGGAGCCTATTTGACAGTATAAAACAGCAAACGATATGCTACAGATTCGGCGTGGCTAAGTATAATGCCTCTTCAACGTTCGTACCGTTTATACCTATGGTGCCCAAAGTGATTTACCCTGAACATATTCGTATCCTCGCAGCTCAGAAAGAAAGGCTGTTTAAGGTTGTTTTTTTTAGATATTCGTTTTCAACAAAGACTGGCAAGAAAGTGCATCGAGGTGTTGATTTTCAGTCGAAAAAGTTCTTGTCCAGTCATGAACACAAGTTAGCTGCTATACTTCTATGTTCCTTTTTCTAACTGTTGGTCACAACGAAGCAAGTCGTTGCTTGCCATACAAATTTTGAAGGCAGTGGATCGGCAGAACCCAACAACTCAGAACTTTAACGCGATTCCTTATTGCCCAAGTATGAGAACAGTGCAATCTTGGTTGCACAGCATGCCTTCCCTGCCGAGAAAATGGCCCTCAAACTTACACGCGCAGGCCAATCTTACACGCTCCCGGACGAGTTGGCAATTTCCTCCTCACCATTGGAGGCTGCCCGCCGCAATGCCATAACCATTGGGTCCCGCAACGATCCAGCATCATCAGCCTTGCTCCACTCGTTCAATTATGAAAGGAAGGGCATTGAAAAACGCTCGTTTTCGCCGTTTTCAACCTCGCAGAAGTGGATTTTCGAAATCAGCGTATTGAATAACCCCAGATAAGCGGAAATTTGACTATGTTGAGATTTGCGAGCCACTGCCTTTAACACGTTGACGACGAGCCATTTTTTGAAGGTCTGTCCCTGTGGACGAACCGTTTTCCGGCACTTTCACAGCTGGCTGCATGTATGTATGCATGCATCTATGCGTGAGATACAAAAATGCAGGTGGGCGGGGCGGCTCCGCCCACTTTTGGCAAGCCCCGCCCACTTTTCAAAAATGCTGGAAATTGCCCAAAATCAATGAATTCGTGCAAATTCCGGCAATTTGGAAAAGTGGGCGGGGCTTGCCACTCAGGGGGCGGAGCTTGCCACTTAGGGGCGGAGCTTGCCTGAAGGTGTGCGGGGCCTGGCTGATAGTTGTTTGAGGTCTTTGCGTACATTTACGGCCTCATCCATGCTTTTTATGAACAAAAATGGCTCTTGTGGGAAGCATAGGAGTGGGCGGAGTTTGCCAAAAGGGGCGGAGCTAATACATGAAGTATATCTGAGCCTATATTGATTATATGAACAAAAACTGAGAGGATTGGACAGATAGTATTGAAATTAAGGCCGCCGCGCACCATTGCGCGGCGTCGTCCACAGGGACAGACTGCCTGCCGCGCACCATTGCGCGGCACTGTCGTCAACGTGTTAAGGGGGACACTTTTCGCCATAGATACCGACTAGGCGCATGCTCGACTCGTCAAATTGTCCTTTGTCGTATTCGCCCTCACTGAGCAGAAAGCCAATGAGAACTGCCTTTCTGTGTCCCCCGTAGGCATGCATGCCCATTCACTTCCGCTCCATGAAAAACAGCAAGATCTTGACAAGAAAGCCGTCTCTTGCAGAGTATAATGGTACACCGCAAGGTGTTGATTTGTTAGAAGATGTGCGTCATCACTTTGCGTTCTTTTGCACACAAAGCTGGATGTTTGTATGTCTGTATGTATGTCTGTCTGTGCGTATGTTCCGAGTAGAAAATTCCATTTCTGAGCCGATCCGGACCAAACTTGGCACACATACACTTCAGGGAGGGGGGTCGTGGGTGGACGTTATTGTTGTTGTTGTCGATCGATGTTGATTCTATCGATTTTTTGTAAAGTTTGGACTACGGAGCTGGGAGTTGGCACAGGGAGGTAATGTTGATTACGAATACACTATTAGTTTTTGGAATTATCCATTAGTCTTATC